GGCCCCTCACCTGCAAAACCTGGTCGACTCTCATATATTTTCGTGCATTGCATTCATCGCCCGCTTTCTCCTCCAAGGAGCTCCCGGGGGCGCGCGTGGTTCTCCCCGTGTTATCCTCGCAACAACAGCCCTGCAAGGTGGGTCAGGCGAGTGGCCCAAGGGAGCACCCAGGGATTGTCCTGGCCAGGTGGGGTGATTTGAACCCTGCTCTCTGCCCGGTCTTCGTCCTCATTTAGCCCCCACATGTGCATGACTGTGCATGACTGAGGTTTTCCCCCGTCGTCTTGGCTATGGTGTGAGTCTGTGCTGTTAATTAATGGGGTTCTGCCTTCGGAGAAGATGAGCCAGCCCTCAAGGAGGTGATTATGTAATTTGCTAGCAATTCATGTCCCTCCCGGCGTGACGCTGCGCGCTGACGTCACGGGGCTGTAATGGTGGTGTGCGTCGAGATTTTTTTCATGAAACAAGTGTGCCTTTGCCCAAAAAAGGTTGGGAAACACTGTTCTATGCAAATGCAATTCTGGTTCTAAACGCAGCATAAGGGGTTTCTACAGTATAGTGTATTTTAAAATGGGGTTTTAGAGTTTTTAGGGGGTTTTGAATGTTTTATGTAGTTTTTATGTAGTTTTATGTAGTTTTTATGTAGTTTTATGTAGTTGCCTGGCGTGCTCTGGTCCATGGGGTCACGAAGAGTCGGACACGACTAAACAACTAAACAACAACATGTAGTTTTATGTAGTTTTGTGGTAGTTTTATGCAGTTTTTATGTAGTTTTATGTAGTTTTTTCAATTCATTGTCCTGCATGGGACAGTGACAATAAAGATATATCGTATCGTATTCAGATTATTCCAGTGTGGCTCATGTTTGTCTTCCCTCTCTCCCACTCACTGTTTTCCTCCCATTGGTTCTGAACTCCAGGGCTGGTGCAGTTTTCTTATTGTGTTGGGGGCATGGCAGAGAAATGAAGGGGCTTTGGGTCCTGTGTACTAGGACTGGGCGATATATCAATATATAATCCAAAACAGGATTGAAGCCCATCTTGTGATAATGGTTTCCTAATTTTTGACCTGGCAATATGTCACGAATCATGAAGTGTGTTAGGGCTAGGCGATATATAGTCCAAAACCAGTTTCAAGTCCTTATCATGATATTGATTTCCTTATTTTTGAACTGGCAATATATTGCGAATTCATGATGTGTGTGCTATGCAAAAATTAAAATATGGAGGGAAACATGAAGCCAGCCAATGCCTCTCCATAGCTCCATCCTGATTTCAGACATTGTGATATATCAATATATTGTGATGTTTAGCTGGTGATATATCAAGAAGTTGAAAACCAGATATCGCCCAGCCCTACTGTGTGCTATGGACATTCAATTTCATCTCAAAATGAACAGTCATATACTTATGAACTCCATGCAAGTAGAAAACTAGCACAGCAGGGAAATGGTTTTTTCCTTGGGTGCTGATTTTCTACTGACAGTGGGTTTTTTTCACATTCAAAAAATGGTCATCTGACACCTGCAGCCTGAAGTACTATATATAGGATTCTACCAAGCTCTCAGGACCACCACACAGCCTTTTAAAGACCCAGCTCCTTTTGTACAAATTAACTTACTTGCCTTTGTTTTTTGGGTGGCTGGGGCTGTTCCCAGGTCACCCAGCTGGGCACTTTAAAAGCTGAGGAGTCATTTAGCAGAGGAGGCATCAGCTAAGCAGCTTTGTCCAGCTTTCCGACGGGTGCTGCCTGCCTGCTTTTCCTCCTCCGAAAACACCCTTCCAGCAGCCCTCGGACCAGATGCTCTCTTTGTCATTTCTTTCTCACCCTTTGTTGCTTTGCAGAAGATTTATGGCCTCTGGACTCTGTTTTTTATTTTATTTTTTGCAACAGCACATGCTAATTTGGCCCCAACGGGTCAACCTGATCTGCCTCCCACAATTGCACCCGAGACATGTTATTGCTTCAAATCTTTCTAGCCTCCAGATGACCAGGTCACAACAGCTTAAAAGCACTTGCAGTTTAATGAACTCAAGATTTATTCAAGTTTCTCTGGAGGTGACCTGAGAACACTGAGGGTTCTGTACAGGGGGCTGACGGCAGGATGTGCAAGCTCTATCCCTTTTGCAGTCATTTTAACCGGTTGTCGTAGCAAACAGAATCAAGGCTGGTCAGAAGTGTTGTGCTGTTGGTGAGAAATCCCAAGCTTAAGACCTCTCTGCCCTCCCCCTTCACCCCTGACCAGGCTGGTTGGGACTGATGGTAGTAGTAGCAGCAGCTCAATAAAATCTGGAAGTCTCTGTTAAGCATGGCTGATATAGAACCCAGGAAGACACCTTTACCAGGCAGGGTAATTTGCCTATTAGTGGCTATCTAAGGAACTAGCTTTCCCAGGGAATGTTGGAAACCACCTTATACTGCATCAGACTCTTAGCCTCTCTAACTCAGTATTGTTTGCACTGATCACCAGCAGCACTCCAGGTTAAGAACGTTAAGAAGAGCCCTGCTGAATCAGTCCAAAGGCCCACCTCGTCCACCATCCCATTCTTGCAGTGGCCACCAGATGCCTATGGGAAGCCTGCAAACAGGACCCAAGTGAAACAGCAACTCTTCCCACCTGCAGTTCTCAAAAACTGGCATGTTGTTTTCTGGAACATATACATTTTATGGAAATTTTGTCCCAATGTATACATTTTTGTACACATCGCTTGGCTGGAAATCTGCATTCCAAAATCCAAAGAAGTGCGACTTTTGAAATCATTTTTATTTGCTTTTACAAATGTACATTTATTACAATACCAAATAGATATCCATAAAAAGAGATTTCTCTGAATCTCGAGACTTTCCCCCCATCCCCTCCATTTGTCCTATGGCCAACATTTCCAACTGCATATTATTTCATAGTCTATATTTTGTATCTATCCATATTGCCCATAGTATTTGTTACATTGCAAATGAGGTTAAAATCCTGCTAATGTTTTCATCTGCTGGCAGTGGTCTCCTAACTAAATTATAAATTTTTCCCATTCTTTCTTAAACTTTCTTAAAGTTTTTGTCTCAGAAACCAAGAACACAAAGAAGTGTGACTTTTTAAGGATGGATGTTTCAAGTTGTCCTCTTGTTTAGATTTGCATTGAAAGGCAAATTGAATCAAATTTCCCACCCCTACCTACAAGGGGAAGGGAGCCATTCAGAATGCTTTGTGGAAGGCAACCTCTATGGGACACTCTGGTTGTGGGATCCCCACCATCAACACCACTGCACCCACAAAACACACACACACTCCTGGGCATCCATTATTGGGGGAGATTCAGGACTGATAAAAGGAAGCACTTCTTATCATGCAGCACATAGTTCAACTATGGAACTCACTCCCACAGGAGACAGGGATGGCCATTGGCTTGGATGGCTCCCAAAGAGGATTAGAAAGTTTATGGAAGTATATTAAAAAACCAGAAGCATTTTTACTGGGCATTGTAGGGGAGGACATTAACAGACACGATTGTAAATTGTTTTTATATGCAATAACGGCAGCAAGAATATTACTGGCACAGAAATGGAAACAAGAATTAACGACGAAAGAAGAGTGGTAAATGAAATTAATGGACTATGCAGAATTAGACAAATTAACAGGAAGGATTCGAAACCTGTGGGACCAGAGATTCTTAGAAGACTGGAGTAAATATCTGAACTATCTAAAAAGCAATTGTAATAAACAGATTACGCTAGTAGGACTGCAAGATGTTCTGTAAGGAGGATTATGTGAAATATTGCATAGAGGATTATGAAGAGAATTATTAGTTAATGATAATTAAAAGTAATAGAGAAATTAAGAAATGCAGAATAAGTGATATGGAACGGAAAATCTTCAGAGGTTGTTGATGGAAGTCTAAAATATTGTTTAAGATAAGAATTTATGTTAAAAGATTGTTGGAAATGATATGTTAAAAAACCACTAAAAATGTATTTTAAAAAAGGAAGTTTATGGAAGTAAATGCTACTGATGGCTACTAGCCACGATGACTATGCTTTGCCTCCACAGTTGGGAGGCAGCAATACTTCTGGATGTGTTGCTGAAAACAGGTAAGAAAAGGTTGTGCTCAGGTCCTGTTTGCAGGCGAGAACAGGATATAGGGCTAGATGGGTCAATGGCTTGATCCACCAAGGCTGTTCTTATGTTCATATGTTAAACTTATTGCGAGTCCCGTGGCACAAAAGAGGTAAAGAATATGACTCACTGGCCCGGTGGGAGTTTGGATGTCAACAGATAGAAAGCTGGGAAGTGAGGGGGGGTAGGAGAGGTTCAGACTGGCAGCGAGATCAATGAAAAGGCTTTTGGACATGCCCCATTGATGCCATACCATCCTGTCCCCATCTGTCACCCTCTCTCCTCTCTCAACCCATGAATGGGCACTAGGGGGGATGTGTGCATCACAAAAGAAGAGGTTCCAATTATGTTGTCATTTTTCCTCCCCACTTGCAAGATCCATCAAGTGGGGACAGGGACCGTTCCATGCCATGTCCAGCTTTTCTCAGGGTACCTCGGGACATGTAAGCTGCCTACTTAAAGCAGCAGGACCAGTCCAATTACGGGAAAGACAAAAGGGGAGGAGGAGCCTTGGAAGCCCTGTGTTAATTGAAGTGGGGTTTCGCGCTAATGAGGATTGAGTACAAGGAAGCGCGGGGTGGGGGGATGTTAGGGAGCCATTGAGGGCTTGTTCCTCCCCCCCCCCCGCCCAAGGAGCCCTCAGCACTTCCCATTCCCCGCAGCCTCTGGCTCAGATTTTAACAAAGCCCCTTCCAAGCAAGAGGCCGAACGGCTGGTTGGCGTGCCAAGTAAATTCTGGAGAAGAAAGCTGACCACTGTGCTAACACAAGGGCTTCTGTTTAGAACACAGGATGCTCGCTGCCTTATACCGAGTCAGACCGTTGGTCCATCTAGCTCAGTAACACCTACACTGGCCGGCAGCAGCTCTCCAGGATATCAGAAGGGGGTCTCCCTCCCACCCCTACCTGGAGATGCTGGGCTGGGGATTGAACCTGGGGTCTTTTGCATGAGCACTGAGCTATGGCCCTTCCCTGAAGCACTGGGTGGGAAGCCAGTTGGCAATCTTTACATGTAGCTTGCAGCAGGGGTAATGTGCTTAAGGCACTTTCCGTGCAGCAAAGTTCTGTGTGCCCGATGCTATGCTATCATTCGCCAGTAGGGGGAGCAGTTGTATCAGGTTGGCTGAGAGTATGAGAGTTTTGTCTTTTAAGGGAAATTATCGTGGAAAGCAGAGTGTGGCGGCAGGGTGGGGGGAAGGGAAAAGGGAGAAAGATCATGTGTTTTTAATTCTGTGTGAACATTTAAAACTGATCAAAGCTAGGATGGAAGCTGAGTTTTAGCTTCATTTAATTTCTGTCCATGCTTTCCCCCGCTGCGCAAAGCATCTTACAATCAGGAAAGTTATTCATGGTCATGTAGACAATCATACTCACTCAGCCTTCGGTGCTGGTTCATGCAAAATGGCACCTTCACATGAGGGGTGTCCATCCACAAGCCCACCCGAGCATGCCTAAGGGGAGGCAGAATGCATTAGATCATTGCACTGTAAAGATTTTCTATTTATCTATTTATTTGGGCTTTGCTTTTTATTTTATTTTTTAAAAAAACTTTATTAAATCTCAAAGATATGCAGTAATTACAACGTTATTAAATACACACATGCAATACCTTTTGATATGCATATATTAATACTTCCCCACCTAGAAAAGCTATTATACCCATCAACAGTTATGTTATATTTATTCCACATAAATTCAGTTAAGGGATTCCACTTATCTTTAAACTTTTCTCTCTCTCTAGCCTATCATTGCTCACTCTAATCCATTCTGAAAGTTTATACTTCATTGCTACTTTACCATTTTCCCCCTTAACCCTTTTTTTTTTAAAAAAAGGTAAAGGTACCCCTGCCCGTACGGGCCAGTCTTGACAGACTCTAGGGTTGTGCGCCCATCTCACTCAAGAGGCCGGGGGCCAGCACTGTCCGGAGACACTTTCCGGGTCACGTGGCCAGCGTGACAAGCTGCATCTGGCGAGCCAGCGCAGCACACGGAAACGCCGTTTACCTTCCCGCCAGTAAGCGGTCCCTATTTATCTACTTGCACCCGGGGGTGCTTTCGAACTGCTAGGTTGGCAGGCGCTGGGACCGAGCAACGGGAGCGCACCCCGCCGCGGGGATTCGAACTGCCGACCTTTCGATCGGCAAGCCCTAGGCGCTGAGGCTCTTACCCACAGCGCCATCCGCGTCCCAAACCCCTTAACCCTTTTTGAACTGATTTGGGTTTTTTTCAATGTCAAAATTCCAGCTTTGCCAAAGTGGTCATTTGCTACTGTGCCCACCAGGGGGCAAGATGACATAAACAAGGATAGATCGTTACCAGCATCCTGTGACTGGCTGGTTTGATTGAATAATTCTATCCCATTTTACAACTCAGAAAATTGCCAACATGTGAAATTCCACCCAACCATTACTCTCTCTTCTTTGTTTTGATACTGCTTCCTCAGCCAGATATTGGCTGTGTACACACCATACATTTAAAGCACATTCCCCCTCCTCCAAGAATTCTGGGAACTTTAGTCTGTTAAGGGTGCTGGGAACTGTAGCTCTATGAGGCTCAAACTACAGTTCCCAGGATTCATTGGTGGGGGGGAGTCATGTGCTCTAAATGTATGGTCTGTACACAACCTTCTTTTGTTCAAGTCTAGGCCTGGTGTGACCTTTCTCCACCCCCATCTCTTTGATTTTTTTTCTCCTGCTCCCATATTCCCTCAACCCTCTGCTCAGGTTTCCCTCAGGCCTTCTATCACTTCCCATTAGTCAATGCCTATACGGCAGGGGTGAGGAAACTTTGGCCCTCCAGATGTTAGTGCCATCGGCACTAACAAGCCTTGCCAATATTAAAACTATGGTACACCTTCTCTCCAGCCACCATGCCTCTGCTCTGACTACCTATTTCTTAGGCTCTCAATCTTCTGGAATCCTCTTTCTATGCAGACTCTCAACCTTCCTTCTCCCCCAAGCAGCCCCACTGTCCAGTTCTGTAGGCACCTGAGTGTCAAGTCCTGAGCCCAAGTCCACCTAAGAGAACCTCCATGGAGCCCTTCAAAAACAACCACACACACAATAGCTGTTTTTGCAGAGAGCTGGTATCAGCTGATGTAGGCTGACCAGGCCTGATGTGCGGTAAGCTACACCTGCCTGGAATTGCTGGCTAGCTGGTTAAAGGGCCATCTCTTTATTTTATTTTTTTGGCCACCTCTTTATTTTGTTGCCTTTGGGGTTCAGCACAGCTGGGAGGAGCTGCAGGGGATTCATCGTCTGAGTCAGACTGCGGGTCCTTGATGGCCACAATTTCTTGCATGGGCGTGCTAAAGTTTCTGCATTCGCCAGCTGCCACCATGCAGTCACAGCCCATTTACATCCGCAGCAGGCAGGTAGGCAGAAGTGGTTTTTATTCAAGCTGAGGCCAGCCGGAAGTCTAGCAAAAGAACTGTATAATGATGTTATAGGGAAAGGGGAAATACAGGCCAAATGCAGGGCAAGGGATCCAAGTGTAAGGATTGGGAAGGGACTGTGGCCCGGTGGTTGAGCACCTGATTTGCATGCAGAAGGTCCTGGTTCAATCCTGTGCGTCTCCAGGTAGGGCTGGGAAAACCACCCTGCCTGAAACCCAGGAGAGTTGCTGCTAGCCAGTATGTATTAAGTTAGACAGACCAATGGTATTCCCATGTTGCCATCTGTTAAAGGAAGGGCCATAGCTCTGGGGCAGAACATCTGCTCTGCATCATCATCACCTTTATCACCATTATGTATTGAATTGTTATACCACCCTTCATCCAAGGATCACAGGGCAGTTTACAATATAAAACACAAAAATGCACACCAAGTAGCAAACAATAAACCTGCCCCAAAACACACACACACACTTACTTTAAAAGGCCATAAATTGTTTAATCAGCCAAAGGCTGATGTATTTGCCTGGTGCCTAAAGATTTGTAACAAAGGCACCAAGCAAGCCCCCCTGGGTAGGGCATTCCACAAGGAGGGAGCTACCACAGAAAAGGGCCATTCCTGTTTCGCTACCTCCAGACCTCTTGTGGTAAAGGTAAAGGTAAAGGGACCCCTGACCATTAGGTCCAGTCATGGCCAACTCTGGGGTTGTGGCGCTCATCTTGCTTTATTGGCCAAGGGAGCCGGCGTACAGCTTCCGGGTCATGTGGCCAGCATGACTAAGCCGCTTCTGGCGAACCAGAGCAGCACACGGAAATGCCGTTTACCTTCCCGCTGGAGCGGCACCTATTTATCTACTTGCACTTTGACGTGCTTTCGAATTGCTAGGTTGGCAGGACCTGGGACCGAGCAACAGGAGCTCACCCCGTCACAGGGATTCGAACCGGCGACCTTCTGATCGGCAAGTCCTAGGCTCTGTGGTTTAACCCACAGGGCCAACCACGTCCCCTTAGACCTCTTGTGGAGGGGCACACAAAGAATGGCCTAAGATGATGATTGCAGGGTCTGGATTGCTTTAAATGGGCAGAGGCGGTTCTTAAGAAGGTCCCTGGCACCTCCAGGTACAGCTGAGAAAGCCCTTTTCTGAGATCCTAGAGAGCTGCTGCTTTTAAGCACAGTCAAAACTCAGCTGGGCAGAGCAATAAATAGGCTGAACTGACAGGAGGCATGTTCCTGTCCAAAGCCAGTGAGCCACCTGGGGCATCTTAAATGGGCCTGACTCAGCCCTCCCTCCCTTCCTCTTGCAGACACAGTGTTAGTCTCCCAGCCAATCCACCCACCCTTCCTCTCCCCACCTGTCTTTTCTTCTGCAGCTGCCTCCGTTTACAAGACTTCTGGCTCCCCAAACTCTCCCTGCCTGCGCGGAAAACCCATAAGGGGATTTGAGTACACTCTGCTCTTCCGGCTGCCCGGAAGGAGCAAAGGGTTGAGCTGCTGGGAGGAGAGAGGGGGCTGCCGGGGCGGGGACAGGAGAAAAGCAATTGAGCAAAGCAGAGGCATCTGCTGGAGAAGCGGGGGTGGGGTGGGGGGTTGGGGGAAGAAACTGCAGGACTTAAGAAAAAATTGTGCCTCACATTTCCTCCTCTAAATTATGAGAGCTCGTAAACAAGAGGGAGCCCCAGCCCTCGGAGGTTTGCCACGTAAAGAGTTAGCGGCTCGCAGATGCCATAAGTGTGGTGTCCCGTCTGCTGGAGATGGGTTCTTTAAAGGGTATTTGGGGGTAGGGTTTTCTTTCCCCTCCCCCCTTTTATTTGCGCCAAAGGTTGCTTCTGGTCTCTCATCAGTTCCTCCAATGACATTAATAAAATACTGACATGCCTTCTGAGGCTAAGAAGAGACTTGCCAATGGCCCACCTAGTTCAGCATCCTGTTTTCACAGTGGCCACCGACCAGATGCTGGTGGAAAATCCTCAAGGCGGGGACAGAGCGCAAGAGCAGTCTGCCCTCCTGCAGTTTCCAGCAACTGGAGTTCAGAAGCAGCCATCGAGGCAGAGCGTCGCAATCATGGCTAATAGCCATCAACTGCCCTCTACTTCTGAGATCTCCTGCAGGCTGGTCTGTTATTGTGGGTGTATTCTGCAACCTACCTGTGACACGATGATGGTGAATTAATGGCAGAGTTATTCCACTTAATTTGTTTCTGTGATGCAACTGCCACCTATCCATTACAGTTTTGCCCTCTAGATAACCTATCCGGCCCTTCAGGTATTTGAAGAAAACTATCACGTGGTCTTTTTTTGTGAGCTTTCCAAAGGGGTTGAAAACCCCTAGCTATGGGTGTTTGTTGAACATTCATCCTGATTTGTATGCAGGGAGAGGAAACCACAGCTGGCTCTTTAAGGAGCATTCATTCTGATTTGTTTGCTGGGAGGTTAGATGACATTGCACCAGAGCAAATGTTAATGTTTGATGTCGTATTGTGTTTTAATTTGTTGGAAGCCGCCCAGAGTGGCTGGGGGAATTAATTCATTATATCAAGGCGCTTCTAGACTGGTGTCTTATTCCTGGTGTACGCATCTGAAGACCAATTGCTGGAAACACCAGGAGGTGAAAGTTGCTGTCATGCTCGGTTCCTGCTTGCTGGTTTCCCACTGGGGCATTTCATTGGTCACTGTGAGAACAGGATGTTGGAATAGATGAACCATTGGCCTGATCCAGTGGTCGCAATCCTGTCTATTGCTGATGTTCAGGGTATATCACCCATGCACAAGAAGAAGGCACTAGCAAGCATTGGAGAACCCCAAGAGTTTGAAGGAGAGGGAGATGTATATGAACCCTAAGTGAGAGAGAGCTCTCCAACAAAGGCCATTGAGAAATGAAAGTGCTGTGTTGCCACAGAATGCTGACTGGCTGTTGTGTGTGTGTGGAAGGAACAGAGGGGAAGAGGAATTGAATGGCTAGAATCCCAAAGCACAAGGACTCTATGCCGCAAGATTTTGTTGCAGGCTCCCTCTAGCAGACAGTTCTGTCACATTCCATCACACTCGTCCCAACATTCCATT